AAATCAAAAGCCATCTGATTTGAGCTTTGTTTCGAGGAAGAAAAATGCTGTTCATTGCCCAAAGAACACCATAACTACTAGTGGTGCAACGGATCACGGTTGATCCGAAATCCGAACCGATCCCACTCCATGGTTCGGTACGCACGTGATCCGAAGATTTGAAAAAGAAAAAAAAAGTATGTGTATGGTGGCGTGGTGGGTCTGTCAATCAGTAGTTATGGCCAGCGCTAGCGCTAGCATTTAAGCAGCCCTTTGCTGCCCAATCCGACCGGGCTAAAGCTATTACAAAAGCTATTGGGGTGTTTAGCTGCAGATGGGAGGCCGTATTCTGTTGTGCAAAACAAGGGGTTTAAACTGTGATGAACGTGCTTGAGCCACGCTATGATATCTCGTTGCGCGTCCACTTCAGTGTGACAAGATGTTCCAAGCATGTATGAGCAGGAAAAGTTTAAAGTTATGGCTGAACTGTCCCAGGCATCTTCTGTTGCCCTAACTACAAATGGGTGGACCTCCAGGGCAACGGAAAGCCACGTGACCGTGACCGCTGTTATATCACAGCGGAGTGGTAGATACAAAGTCCCTGTACTGCCCTATAGATTACATTGGTAAATGGTAAATGGCCTGCATTTGTATAGCGCTTTTCTAGTCCCTAAGGACCCCAAAGCGCTTCACACTACATTCAGTCATTCACACACGGCGATGGCAAGCTACATTGTAGCCACAGCTGCCCTGGGGCGCACTGACAGAGGCGAGGCTGCCGGACACTGGCGCCACCGGGCCCTCTGACCACCACCAGTAGGCAAACACGGGGTTAGTATCTTGCCCAAGGATATTTGGCATGCAGCCAGGAGGCAGCCTGGGATCGAACCACCGACCTTCTGATTAGTGGCTGACCTGCTCTGCCACCTGAGCTACAGCCACCCCTGTAGAATTACAGGGGTGGCTGTATAGACATTAGATTAGATGAACCTTTATTTATCCCTCGGGTGGGTTCCTCGGGAAATTGAGTTTCCAGTAGCACAGCACCGACAGAAGTTGCAGAATGTGAGCAGAAATATACCATATATACACAATATATAAATACAGAGTATACAAAAGGATAAATAGAATAAATAGGAATAAGAATACAAGGGAACGGCACATTTCAAGTATTGTGAGTCTATTACACCGTTGGATATTAACAAAAACTATTGCACAGTGAAAAGGCACTACAGCTTACTTGTTCCCCCCTCCTTTGTCCCCGTTTCCCCTCCCTCTCCCCTCCAGCGAGGAGTTAAACAGTTTAATGGCGTGTGGGACAAAGGACTTTTTAAGTCTGCTGGTCCTTGACTTTGGGAGAAGCAACCTGTCACTGAACAGACTCCTCTGGTTGTTTATGGCCGTGTGCAGAGGATGCAGAGGATGCCCAGCATGGTCCATAATGTCCATATTGCACCTTAATTTGTTTTTATATAAGTGCGTGGAATGAGTCTTCAGTTGAATGTTTTTTAATAGAAAAAATACTTGAGTAAGTAAATGGCGAGTCAAATTTTTGTCTTTTTTTTCTATTTTTGCTGATCCAAAAATTGATCCGATCCGTGACTTAAAACCGTGATCCGATCAGAACCGTGAGATTTTTGATCCTTTGCACCACTAATAACCACAGTTGAGCAGAGGGGAGGAAACATTATGCTTTGAGGCTGTTTTGGGGCCCTAAATGACCTCCAGCTGACCACAAACTTCATGAGGGTGGCTCCAACATACTCCAGTGGCCCCTGCACTCTTGGTTGGCAACATGGCTTTTGCCATAGAATACCACTGGTGCCCTGCTTTTCACAGATGAGAGCAGGTGGTCTAAGGAGTCATATTTATGGAGGGATGCACAAACCTCTACAGGCTAGGCAGTAGGGTTGGGTGTTATGTAAAAAATTTCCAACCTACAATTGTCAATCAAATAATCGACAGTGTGAATTATATTCGCGCATGCACAGACTTTTTGATGGGCGGAGCAATGTAATCATGCATGGACTGATTTGCGTGCTTACAACACAGAAAAAGTCCAAACATGGGCGAACTAATTGCTAAAAAAAATATCAAGTCGCCAATTTGGGATTTCTTTGGCTTGACACCGGAAGAAAGAAGTAAACCTAATGATGTAACCAAAGCGATGTGCCGCTTGTGCAGACATAGTGTGAGCAAAGGACTCAAATACAACTAACTTGCATATGTTTTTTTTTTCTTTTTCTGAACATAGGCTACTGCCTTTCTTTCGTTATGTGTTTGAGTAAATGAATCGCTGCATTGGGCGCGCTCTGAGGAGGGTGCATTTGCTCGCAGATGAAAGAGGGAGCTGTTAAAACAGCGCTATTATTATTTTTTTTCTGTTGACTGCTTCCATTAGCTCCATCATTATTAGCAAACTTACTCATGGGCAAGTAAATAAATAAATCGCCCTTGTAAAAACGATCTGAACCATCGTCGATAATTGATATATTCACACTTACTGCACTTACTACCTTTTAGGGCTGCCACAAACGATTATTTTGATAGTCGACTAGTCACCGATTATTTTTGCGATTAGTCGACTAATCAGATCATCATTCATTGGAGTAAAACGTACAGCTTATTGCACCAGCAGCATCTGCTCTTATATAACTATCATTAGCTTACAGCTTTGAAGTGTTTAAGGTATGTGCTAACTAAACATAAAGACAAGATGATAGTTTATTAAATTTTAATGAAATTTGTAGATTGTTTCTTGGTGGCGTTTAATAAACTCAGCCGTCTGCTCTTTGCTCCCTAAAATATAACAGGACAATGGAGTAAATTTTCTACCATCTCATACTTCTGTTTAATCAGTTTCTGTTTGATGTTTATTCAGCTGTGTGAAAACTATAACTTTAATCTCAGCCAAACCGATTTACTCAGGAACAAATAAAACACTGAAAAAAGCCAAACAATAACATTTTTAAGTTATCTAAGTGACTTATATATCATGTTTAACCTGAGTAGCAAAGACGCGGGGGTTTGAAAATGATTTGCCAAGAGTTCGCTGTTCTCACCGGCTCTAGTGAGCCTTGAACCCCGGCTAGCTATCAAGCTGGTGGGTAACAGACGTCTCCGAAAACGTCAGAGCGCTTTTGCAAATATGTGATGTCTTAATAAACTGAAAATATCTTAAAAGTTTATTTTGTGACCCAGAAAGAATAATTAGGGTAATATTTAAACTAAGTAGCTGCCGCCATTATTGGAAACTGGGCCGCGCTATGAATTCTGGGATATGCTGGGCCATGAAGGATACACCTGACCTGATTCCTTGTACAGATCGGAGGACCTTCAAATCTGGGGAAATGAAGGACGCATTTTTCGGCCGCATTTGGAAGCATCTTTGAATTTGGACAGCCTTCATCGCGATGCTGTAACGTAATCGGCCTACAAATGCGGCCTCCGAAGGATGCGGACCCTGAATTTGGACACAGCTACGATCTTGGGGACTGCTTCTTCTTCTTCTTTGGGGTGTAACGGCAGCTTACACTCTTGAATCCTACTTATTCCTGCGTCTTTCAGGATCTTGCAAACGACGCGTCGACTATTTAATACGTCGTCAACGATTTTGATAGTCGCCGTAATCATGACTAGTTGACTAATCGTGACAGCCCTACTACCTTTAGGTATTGGGATGATATCCTTGGACTCATTATCAGATGTTATGTTGGTGCAGTGGATAATATGGTGATTATAAACTGGCAGTTACTGGAGGATGAAGGAATTGATACCACTGAGTGGTCCCCATGCTAACCTAGGATCCTGTCTCCCTGGACACATTTTCTTTAAATTCAGTTAATAATTTTAATTTCCATCAAACATTTTAGGCGTCCTTTCATTCCTAACACATTACTCAGTCCAAATCAATACAGATATGAGTTTTTCCCTATTGAAATCTAATGAGTTTTCAAAGTGTTCCTCTAAGAAAAACAATCAGAAAATATATAATTGCTTGCTTTCCAGGCAGGTGAGGCAGTCCTGAGTGCTCTTGGTGGCTGTAAGATACTCAGAGAACTGTCCAAACGGGAGGATGAGACTGAAACCAAACTCTCCATGAAAGAACTGGCCCAGAAGTTTGAGAACCTGGCTCATGGTGAGACAATAACTACAACTGTCTGCTACTGTTGATGTTATAATAATTAGATATTTCAAAACCATTTCACAAAGAGCCCTTTGATTTTTCCTTTTAAAAGCTTATGTAACACAATAATAACAAACCTATCTAACTCTTTGTCATGTGTCTTGTGTCTACTTTACGTCAGATATTTTCAGCTCTTGCTATCGCAGTGATGAAAACCGCTCTTTCAGCCTGCTGATTAGAAAGTCTCCTGTCTGGGGTCACAGCACCTGTCTTCAGATGGGTGTGAGCTCTGATGCTCGGCGTTTCTTCAGTAATGATGGTGTACAGGTGTGTCTTATCTTTAATTCATGTTGTTGTCATGATTTCAAAGATGAATCAGATGAATTTTACAAAGGAAATATAGCATGATATTTGTAAAATAACACAACACTTCATGTTGAGCCGGTGAGCTGCTGTTGATGGATAAGGACTGCTTTTCTGTGCTCTTCCAGTCTCTGTTGTCCCAGATCTGGTGGGGTGATATGAAGAGGAACACAGAGATCTGGAAGCTTCTGCTCGTGTTCTTCTGCCCCATCCTCTGCTACACCAACCTCATCTCTTTCAGGTAAAATTTTTAATTTAAGGTTTGTAAATTATTTTTTAATATTTTTTTAAACATTTGCCACTTTTTTCCCCGCAGGAATCAATACGATCAGCAAGAGGAAGAGAGGATGCTTTTTGAGGATGAGCTGGATCAGGACACTGACAGTCACTATGGGAACACTGTCTTCTCTTTCTCTGACATCAAACAGCAGTAATATTTCTACTTGCACTCTTCAGTGTTCGTCCATAGAACATCAGTTTGTTTTTTATGTCTTAGGTCTACTAATGAATTAAAAATGTTTTCTTACACCAGTGAAGTTGACTCAGACGTTAAAAGAGTGATGCCATTAAAGGTGAGTCCTGTTCAAAGAGTCATCTGATTCTTGCTCCATATGCTGTCATTTTTAGTCACCTGCTTATCTATGTTTATAATCTTTGATACAGGCGTACCCCAACGACTGCCACAAAGTCCGTTCACAGTGTCACGCTGGCGTCAGTTCTGGTTTGCACCAGTCACCTCATTTCTGGGCAACGTCCTGATGTACTTCCTGTTTCTCTTGCTTTTCGCCTACGTGCTGTTGGTGGATTTCAAGCCCCCACCCCCCTCAGGTCCAGCTGCCACTGAGTGTGTGTTGTACTTCTGGGTATTCACCCTCGTTTGTGAGGAGATCCGACAGGTGAGTGAAGAGAGACATCTTACTTAGAACTTTATTCCAAATTTTTAACTGTATAAAGTCAAGTGAACAATTGAATGCAATAATATGCACCTAATTCAAATATTTTTAATTGCACATAGTAGAAAGAGACAATATGTGTGTCATTGGAACACAGTGGTTAACATGCTGTCGTCTCACAAGCATTAAATTGAAGATGGACACAAAAATAAATAAACAAAATTAATACGCTTCAAGGTGCATGTATAGGCGTATATAAAAACTATTATCATACTAAAGTATGTTGATAGTTTTTATTATTGTAGTTTTTGTTTTCTATGATCTGTTAAGTTTATTTTTCTTCTTCAAGACGCTGTTTTTGGGGACGACCTGGAGTCAAAGTTTCAGACTCTACATTCAGGATGTGTGGAATAAATGTGATCTCACTGCCATCAGCCTGTTCATTGTCGGACTGATTTGCAGGTATGGACAAGATATAAAAATGATATCTTAATCTTAGATTGCTCATCAAAAACTTTTCACAACACTACATACAGTTTAGTTTGTCATTGCATGATTGTAACATTTAAGAAATCACAGTATTTCGTTTTGTGGTACTTGTTTGGCTTCTTAAGTGTGTCTCAAATAATTTTTTTATACTTAGTTTTTAGTCACTTAAATTTAAAACATTTCCTCAGTTAACAACCAAATGTTACTGGTTAATTTACAGGTTTGCCACCAGGTGGTGCTGCTGCCTCACTGATTCAGTGATGCTGTGCTTGTGTTTCAGGATGTTTCACCGGTCACATGAATTTGGACGGGATGTCCTGTGTTTGGACTACATGGTCTTCACACTTCGCCTCATTCACATTTTTGCCATTCACAAGCAGCTGGGACCAAAACTCATCATTGTAGGAAATATGGTGAGAAAGTTACCATCAGTTGGAATTATACCAGGAATATGTGTCTAATAATACAATGTGAGCAACAACATGACAATTTCCTCCTCTTGTTTAGATGAAGGATGTCTTCTTCTTCCTCTTCTTCCTGGGCGTGTGGGTCTTGGCGTACGGAGTTGCCAATCAGGCTCTGATCTACAACTATGATCCAAATCCAAATCGCATTTTTCTGAGAGTTTTCTACATGCCATACTTGCACATCTTTGGATACGGCTCTTCCATCGAGGAAGAGATGGATGGTACAAGTGTTTGTGCAATTTGCATGAAAATAAGAAAATTGTTACTACACTGAAATCAGTTTTAAAATGCTGCTTTTTTCTACTGCAGGTTTTTAAAATTCATCACAGCAATTAGAAATTTAGTTATTTTTTTATTATTGTAACCCTTATTTGAACCTTTCTCCTTTTATCTCTATTTTGTGACAGTGGGACGGGAACTAAACTGCACAGACAATGTGACTTTGATTGAGAGCGGTGAAGAGCCGTGTAGAAATCATGAGAAGTAACTGGCTGGTAGTGATTCTGCTAGTGTATATCTCCTGGTCACCAACATCCTGCTCATCAACCTGCTTATTGCCATGTTTAGGTAAAGAACCAGTCTGTCATTATGTTTCTCTGAGGCTGCATTCACAAACTGAATGGTTTGACTCAGTGGCTCTGATCTGCTTGTATCCACACAGCTACACTTTCTCTAAAGTGCAGGAACACAGTGACATCTACTGGAAGTTCCAGCGTTACAACCTGATTGTTGAGTACCACTCCCGTCCTTCTTTGGCTCCTCCTTTCATTATCCTCTCACACATCAACATCTTTATTAGGAGAGTTATTCGCAAAGTGCCCTCTGTAAAGATCCACCACTTTGGTCAGTATTGGATCAGGAGACTTAGTTCACAATAATACAATAAATGTATTAATTTAATAAAGTTATTGCTTTATTATATTGAAATAATAAGTGTAACAGGTGAGAAAGCCACAGTTGATTGGAATTGGATACTTTGTTAAATATCTTCCAGTTGTTGTTGTTCACAAATTAGTTTTTATGGGGTTTTTTGATCAGTTGCTGCCATGTTGTCACTAAGTTACTCACTAAAAATTGCACTGTCTAAATGAGAATGGGCTCTTTGTTTATTTGCAAACTGACCTCAGCTTAGCACCGATGTAAACAAACAGTGAGTTGAAAGGTAATCAATTCAAACCTTTGTCTTTTCTATCAGTGTTAGACTTGGAAGCAAAGGCAGCGAACAGATTATCAACATGGGAAACGATTCAGAAGGAAGACTTCCTGACTGCTCGAAACAAGATCCAGAAAAGCAGCGACTCAGAAAGGCTCAAACGGATGTCTGCAAAGTGAGCAAAGCATCCTGCTCCGCTGTAGCAGCAAAATGAAATTGTGACTCCATCATTCTGAAGAATGTTTATTTTTTTGATATAGGGTAGATGATGTGCTTAAACGTCTGACTGAAAGCAAAGAGTTTGAACACAGACTACAGGCTCAGGTAAAACAGAAGCATTTTATCTGAAGCTCTCACTTTGTCATTTAATACCCTTTGACTCATTCCTCATACATATGTAGAAATGCTGTGAAAGAGCATGTCTGCACAGTCAAAGTATTTTATATAGAGATTAGAGAGTATAATGACAGAAAGATGGAACATGGGGGAAAACACCTACTATAAAGCAGAAAGGCAGTTTAAGTTGGGTTTATGTAAAGTTGTTTGCTGGCTGAGGTCAGAGATAATGTGGATGATGGTAAGTAATGCATATTTAATATTTTGGAGAAAAAAACAGCCAATAGTTTTGGTTGCACATTAATTAGAGTGTTAGAAAGTGACAAATTGTGGTCTTGTAGAAATGAAAGGTGAGTTTTAGTTTTAGTTGGTAGGTGGATTTTGGTCACTAGATGGAGCCAGGCAAGCTGTCTCTATTTCATCTGTCTTTGAACTAAGCTAAGCTAGGCGTTGCTGCCCTCATGTGTGTCTTTGATGATGCAGTTTCCTTATTCAAGATGATTTTCTCCAGTAGGAGACAAAACACCTTTAAGCACAAAAACATTTTTACTCTCTGAGCTTTTCAATTATTAAAATAGTACTTTATGTTAATGCTCAAATGGGACTACATAATATTTATTTGATATAAATACTGAAATTAAACAGATTATTTCAATCTGTTTTGTGTGTTGTTATAGACACAAAGACAAGACATGCAATGAACAGAAAGCTTGAACACATATATCTCTGCCATTATTCATTATTGATATCAATAAAAAATAAGTCATCCTTTTCTCACTTGGTTTTCATTTAAATTTAAGAATAACTATTCTATTCTGGACTTTTATGATATTCTGATATTCTGCTCTTTCTTCTCAGATGGAGCAATACTCAACTGTCCTCAACTGGGTTGTGGATACTTTAGCACAAGGAAGTACAGTCAAACCTCCTCGTGCCCTGCCTGTGTTACGAGGTACTTCCCAGAACTTATGAAATCAGTTTTGCTTACAAAACAGCCTGCATGTTAAAAAAGTCACACTGCTTTCACTCGGGTTATTGCAGTAAGTAAGCAGATAACATGTCATCTTCACTGCTTTAGTTTTAAAAGTGCTTACTAAATCTTTTACATTGTAGTCGGATTTTCTGTGATGTTGTCTATCAGGGGTCATATTGAGAGCACGTTAATACTTTTTTTTTGCTCCGTTACACTGCAAATATGGGCCGTATTTTTATGTCTGCATTATTGTTTTCTATTTAATCAAGTTTTTATGCAGTATAATACATTTATTTTTAATATGACAACAAAGGAATTTGTTGCTGAGAGTTTGGTTAAAAAAGCCTGCCACAATTCATGTGGTATGCCTTTTGGACAAATGAGACCAAAGTATTGATATTTGGATTATTTAAATAATTTCAGAGATTTTTTTATTAGATCATTATCTAGTTATTATGTCCTTGTAGAGAAATTCTTAGAAGTGAATGATGTATGCCTGTTACACGTGGCTGCACTATACAAAAAAGGTTCCTTGTCTTGTCTAATTCTTGGCACAAAATCAAAGTGCAGAGTGAGCAAATACATTCCAGACAGTCAGGCCTGTCTGGTTACATAACGTAGTAGGTAACTTGTAGGTAAGAAAAGAAACCAAGGGTAAAATCTAGGTTTCTTTCGAATTCTCGTTTTATGCAGATGACACAGTTATCTATTGTTCATCTACTTGATTAGTACAAACACTTGAATTTCTTGAGGCAGTCTTAGATGTTGTTCAGTCTCATTAAACTTACTTTGTTTCATTTTCTTTTCCCTTTCCTTCCCTTTTTGCATTACTGTGATCTGCTCCTTTTAAACATACCAGGGCAGCACCTAAAGAGGCTGTATACTGTTTGTTATTGTGCTTTATGTTTTATCACTAGTTGCGAAAATGATGTACATCACTGTTCTCTGTATGCTGCTGCTAAGTGCTCATTTCTGAATATCCCCATCTCTGTATATAATTGTTTTTTAATCTAAAAATGTCTGGTCGAGGGCACCAGTTTAGGTCACTGAGATGAGCAGGTGACCATATGCCATATGGCTGAGAGCACCTGGCCTGGGATCAAATCTGACCCGCAGCACTTTGCCACATGTCTTCCCCTTACTCTGCTTTCCTATAACTCTTCACTGCACCTGTCTAATAAAGCCAGAAAAAAGCCATGTGTCTGTATATGTAAAAACCACAACCAGTCTACGCTTTCACAATATTATACAAATGTTTGTCTCCAGGGTCAGAATGGAGTTGTGAATAGACATTTTAAAATATCCTGTCCCCTTTGTGCTGCAGTAATCTACATAAGAAGTTCAGACTGCACAACTGATTATCAGACTCATGATGGGGGAGTTTAAGTCCATTTTAAAAAGTGTGAGAAGTGTGAGCTCTTTCAGCCAGTTTGACTGCTTTTATTACCACTCTTTTAATAATGTTTGCTTTTTGTGTTCACCTGTCTGGACTGGACTGCATTGGCTTTTTCTTTGTGTATTTGCTGAAACTTCGTCTCCGCTCTTTGCCAGGTGTGTCTTTAAAAACAGATTCAAATCTCAATGAGATTTGAATGAATAAAGAATAATAATAAAAATACTTTTGAATGTGATCATTTTAGTAAACTTGATGAAAGAACCTATCATTTGTCATTAATAAATACATTTTAATTCTGTGCACAATGTGGGATTGTAATAGTTGGATCTACTATGCACATACGTATCATGGATAGTGTTAAAGAAGCATGCTGGTGCTGAGTTTCAGTCTGCCATGGCTCCATTGAAGGTCACATAGTGGAACAAGCCATTGAAGGAGCCTTCACTGTAAATAGCTGCGTCACCTGTCAATAACCGGAGGAGGAGCAACTCACACTGAGAGGCACTGTCATCGCTTTCAGCCTGGCTGCTCTCTGCAGTATTGTAGCTGACTGTGCCACTGTGAGTGTGGACTTTATAACACTGTTCTCCTCCTGCTGGCTCCAAAGTAAAAAAAAACACACACACACAAGAAGCCTAAAAAAAATGCTATTTTTGGGAAGTAAGCATATGTTCAAAGTGCTTTCCTCTCCATTTCCTTGCATGTACATGCACGTCTGCATGATCCTTACGTATTCTCATTTGCTTCAGCAGTGGCAAGAAGAAATTAATTTTGCTGTGTACACTAAAGTAAATAGCAGATACTGAGAAGAATATTCCAAAAATGTGCGAACCATTAATCTAAAAAACCCACACATAGTACATTTATCAAAGTTCTGCTTCTTTCCTGAATAGTTTGGGAGCTATGACTACAAAAGCTGTGTATAGAACCATAACTTTATCTTCAAATTATTTAATTGTTGTAATTTCTAATAAGAAAAAAAAATCTTATTTTTGCCCCCCTCCTGCAGTTCAGTAGCCCCCTCCCCCATCCACCAAATGCATACACTCACCTCTCTAATGCTCTGTGTTAAGGGCATCAGGAGCATTCTTCTTAGACATGTGCCTCTGTTACTCACTTACATATAGCAACATAGCTACACCGCACACACAGTCGTATTTTCACTGTGTCCTCTTGTGTTCTCAGCACAAGGCTGGCACTCTGCTCTCTGTGAGCACACTTCTTTTCAAACCGTCTCTCGGGAGTCTGGGAAAAAGACCTGAACACTGCCTAAATCTGCTGCGCCTTAGCAGCTTTTTGTCTTCCATCAACTGTTTTGGTTTTTGGTGGAAGAATAGAGTAACAAGAATAAGACAGTCTTCAAATTCCAAAGCTGCATTTCTCCCAAGATGGCACCTGTAAAATTTTGGGTGGTAGGTCTCCTGCTTGTGCTGCTGTGCTCATCCCAGGTCCCTTTCTCTGTTATTGTAAGTGCGCAAGACTTGAACGAACTGGAGGAAAGCCTCCATGATAGAAATGCTAAGGAGGCTGAAGAAAGTGAAACGGCTGAGGTTGGTGAGGGGAATGAAGAAAAAGATGAAGACTCAGATGATGATGATGATGAGGTAGAGACTGATGAAAAGGTGGAAGAAGAACAGGAGGATGAGAAGGAGACAGCAGAGGAGGAAGATGACAATGCTGATAATGAGGAAGAAGATAATTCTCAGGAGAACGGGGATGTTGAGAAGGAAGAAGAAGGTGAGGCTTCAGATGAGGGTGATGCAGAAAAGGAAGAATATGAAGCAGAGGAGGATGAAGAAGGTGAGGCTTCAGATGAGGATGATGCAGAAAAGGAAGAATATGAAGAAGAATATGAAGCAGAGGAGGAAGAAGAAGGTGAGGCTTCAGATGAGGATGATGCAGAAAAGGAAGAATATGAAGAAGAATATGAAGCAGAGGAGGATGAAGAAGGTGAGGCTTCAGATGAGGATGATGCAGAAGAGGTAGAATCTGAAGAAGAATATGCAGCAGAGGAGGATGAAGAGGAAGAGGTGGAGGCAGATGCAGATGAGGAGGAGGAAGTCCCAGCTAATAATGAGGAAGACGATGAGAAGGAAGCAAGGCAAGAGGGTGACGATGAAGAAACTCAAGGAGAGGATGTAGATGAGGATGACTCTGAAGATGAAGATGGTGAATCACACTTTAACAAAAAAACATGCACACATTTTGAAACATATTAATGGGTTAGCAAGATACTAAATGGTGCAGTATTTAAAGTTACAACAAATAATGAGATTTTTTGGAACCCCGTGAGTGACTCTGTACTCTACAGTAGCTCTCTGACATTGTTCAGCTTACTAGGGTTACTTTAGGAACACTGTCATACATATCAGTCCTAAAATGGACTGGATTATCTGTGCAACAGCAGGAAGGCAACAGTATCTAAACCATCTATTTTCTAGTGGCCAGTGTAGCTTTTGAGACTTCAAACAAGCACCAAACATTGAATACTTTGAGATTTGTCCAAAAGAGGGCGTTATAAAGGGATTTTTTTTTTTAATTTCAGTCATTGCTTCATGCTTGAAAAAAATGACAACAAATGATATTATGGAAAAACAGCACCTGTAGGAATTTTTGCTTTGTTTACAATAAATCTACTTAGACTATTTGTAACAAACATGTGATAGGTTTGTAGCTTAAACCTATTCGCTGGAACGTTCAAGACAATTCAACTACACAGCAAAAGCATTGAACACCAAGTAGGCAAAGTTCTTCGTGTTACTCATATATGAGGGAGAGAACCACGACAAGCGCCGTTCCTTCGCTTGACCCCAGTCGCTCTCGTCCGCTCCCCCGTAACATTGCTCTTTTATTGAGGTTACATGAATATACATAGGTTCATTAACATATGACGTATACATACACACAAAGAGTACCTTGCCTGTGCGTTGTGTATGTGTTGTGTGTGTGGGTCAGTGTGACCCCATAAATGACTTCCCTAAACCTGCTGGTCTGGAAGTCCAGCAGTTCATCTAAACAAAAGGCACTTAGACTAAAACTGACATAGCTACGTTTATCCTACCATAAAACAATAAGGGAAGGTATGCCCTCTCCCATGCTCCCAGGATGTGGGTGTGAATGCCTGAACACTCTGGAATGCACACCAAGCCTTTGCAGACTATTAAGGATCAAAGCTCTACCAACATGACATTGATTATAACACTCTAAGCATATATGAGTAGATATTTCTAAGCATAAATGACAATCAAAAATACAAATCTAACGACATGATGTTATGACAAAAATATAATACAAAAAAAGAGACCATCTGTGCCATAATATTGCATCAAGTAGAATTAAACATTAGACACGTAACTTGTAAATAAATGGCAGTAATCAGTACTCACTAGAAAAGGTCTTTTTGGATTGTGTGTTAGTACAGAGGCTCAAAAGGCCCAAAGTCACTGTACTCTCAGCGGTTAACTACAAAAAGGCTGAAAAAGTGATGAATGAAGTGGTAAATTACTCCCAAATGAATTGAAATCATTAGCACCAACACAACAATTTGGAAACCCATGTGAATACTTAGGTTTTGATACAGTGAACCAGGAACGCATTCACAGTCTTTCACTTGTTCAAAGGCCCCTGCAGGCCAGGAGAAACAACATTTTCTGGTCTGATGAAAACAGCATGTCTGGAGGAATGTCTGGAGGAAACTAGGCATTGCTCATCACCTGGCCAATACCATCACAGTGAAGCATGGCGGTGGTAGTGTCAGACAGTGGGGATGGTTTTGGTAGCAGGAACTGGCAGTTATTGTAGTAATTGTTGCAAAAGGTGTTAGTATTGAACAAAGGTTGTGAATACTTATGTAAAACTTATATAATTGTATTTTATTTTGGATGAATTTGCAAGAATTTCCTGCAAAATATTTTCAAGACATATAGGGTTATAATCATATATTTATTTAGACAATTTAATGTTCTACAAGATACAGTTGGCTCTATTCCACAGCGTGTCTTGTCCTGTCTTCCTCCGCTCACTCCCAACCGATCACTATAGCTACCTCTCAATTTTCTTCCTGGTAGTTTTTTCCAGTCCACTGTCACCAAAGCACTTGCTCACAGAGGGTCATCTGATTATTGGGGTTTTCCCTGGTCCTTACAATATAAAGCACCATTGGGCAACTGTTGTTGTGATTTGGACGTATAAATAAAACTGAATTGAAATGAATAAAATACATTTCCGATAAAGATGATTTCCTGAACCATTTACAGATGAGTCTGAAGGTAAAGACACAAAGGACAACCAAAGTGACTCAGATGAAGAGAAGGGAGCTGCTGACACTCCACAGTTCCACTCTGGATCGTTGTGTAGTGTTTGCTCCATTTGTGAGGTAAAAAAAACAAACAAAAACATGTAATGGAATTAACAGACTTTTTTGTGAATCTACCCAGTAATCACACATCATTATAAGTCCTGTGTTGTCGATTTGCCCTGACTATATACCATATGCACGACTAATCACTCTACGTTGTGGTTTCTTCCCATCTTGTAGCATTGCTCTACTAACTGTGCCAAGTGCCCGTGTGAAGAAGGAGATGTGTCTGATCACTGCGAGCACTGCCAAGTAAGCATCTTGACTTAAAAAGGATTATAACTGCTGTAATAATACACAGCACTTCATTTTGCCCTGTGCCTCTTTGCGTTAATCGGTTTTGTTTGTTTTGTTTTCCAGGGTTGCTCAACCTGCTACATTTGTCCCATTCTTTGTGACACAGTTTGCACACCGGGTAAGTGCTAGTTGTGATTCTGTGGGTGTACTGTTGTGTGTTCACAGATTTCATTAACTTTGGTTTGACTTAAATTTTGTAGGTGGTTTTGTTGATGAGCTGACTGGATCCCTCTTTCAGTAAGACTATTCACATTTAAAAACACAGAGATATTTTTAGATTCATTAGTGTTGTACTGCTGCCTTTAAACATAGTTTTCCTTTTGTTTCTGCAGGACTGTTGCCTCTCTGCTCTGAGCTCCCTGGGAATTATGTCCGTTTGCTTTAATGTGGAACTGCTCACCAGACTTCACCACATCCCACACAAGCTTTTTATGAATTTTGCAAACAAAAGCAAAGACTTATTTATGATTTAAATGATACTTAATTCTTTGTTGTAAGAAGAACAGAAAAAAGTCAGTGTGCACAATTTTTCCACACATGATTTCTTCTTTCACTCTTTCCCCCCACTTTTTTTTTTGTCTTTTTATTATTTCTACCAAAGTCCCAAAATTTGATAAAGTCATCTTTTTACTTATGCCAAAAACATTATGTGATTGTAAGGTTTTGGAGTTTTTCTAACTGTAGGTTTAGGAATTTGGGAAATTATTCTTTTTTATTGTGAGAAAGGGCACAATTTAACATTTAGCTTCACAATTACATATCAAATTGAAAAACAAAAATAACTGTTCTGGTTTCAGAAATCCAGCTGGATCTAGAGACACAGTTTGTGCATGGTGTTAATGGAACACACACAGACACGCACACATGCACACAGACATATAGGAGCTTGTCATGAATCATGCAGACAAAAAAGATATATAATATATACATTACCAGTCAAACATTTGGACACACCTTCTCATTTAATGGTTTTTCTTTATATTCATGACTATTTATATTGTAGATTTCTCTGAAGGCATCAAAACTATGAAGGAACACATGGAATCATGAGTAAACAAAAAATTGTGAAATAACTCAAAACATGTTTTAATTTAGATTCTCAAACAGCCATGATTTGCTTTGATCACTGCTTTGCATATTCCTGGCATTCTCTCGATGAGCTTCATGAGGTCGTCACCTGAAATGGTGTTCCAACAGTCTTGAAGGAGTTCCCAGAGATGCTGAGCACTTGTTGGCCCTTTTGCCTTCACTCTATGGGAGTGGGACCAAAGAGCTCAAATTTGGACTCATCAGACCAAAGCACAGATTTCCAATGGTCAAATGTCCATTCCTTGTGTTACTTGGCCCAAACAAATCTCATCTGCCTGTTGCTTTTCCTTAGAAGTGATTTCTCAGCAGCTGTTTGATTCGCACAGTCTGCTCTGAACAGTAGATGTAGAGATTTGTCTGCTACTGGAACTCTGTGTGGTATTTATCTTGGCTCTAACCTGAGGTGCTGTTAACTTGCAATTTCTGAGGCTGGTGACTCGAATGAATGTATACTCAGCAGCATAGAGGACTCTTGGTCTTCCTTTCACGGGCCGTTTCTCATGTGAGCCAATTTCGTCGTAGCACTTGATTGATTTTACAATTACACTTGGGGATACATTCAAAGTTTTCTTGACTGACTGACCTTCAGTTGTTAAAGCAATGATGAACTGTTGTTTGTCTTTACTTAGCTGATTGTTTCCTGCCATAATTTGAATTCTAACAGTTGTCCAATAGAGCTGTCAGCTTTGTACCAATCTGACTCCTGCGCAACACAACTGATGGTCCCAATCTCATCAAGAAGGCAAGAATTTCCCCAAATGAAGCCTGACAAGGCACAGCTGTGAAGTCAGACCATTTCAGGTGACTTCATCATGAAGCTCATTAAGAGAATGCCAACGGTTTGCAGCGCTATCAACAAAGAAAAGGGTGGCTGCTTTCAGGAATCTAAAATAAAGGCATATTTAGAGTTGTATTTTTTTCTTTGCAACATAATTCCATATATCATGCTTTATATACTTGATAGGAATATGTGTGACTGCACTAGAGGAAAAAAGGACCATGAACATTATGACAAATTAATTTCTCATGTTGTGTCCTTTTTGAGTTCTCGTGCTTGCTTCCTGTTAGAGTACAATTTAATGCAAAACACTGTAAAAAGAACTGTTTTGCCATTATCCAATAAAACATTTAGTTCTTTTAATAAAAATGTGTTTAGCATGGTTGCTTTTTGCATCATCTGTATCCTTTAGCTTCTGCGATTTAACTGTTACAGTCTCTAAATGGTTCACAATAAATTGGGTTCAGAAACGGAAGTTGTGAGTTAAAGATTTTGTAAACAATAAAACCCGGAAGCCAGTAAAGCACCGGTGCAAATGTCAGATGTCATGACTTATATTTCTCAATAGGTAATTCAGGCACTTAGTCTTACATAACACACATAAAGGTATAAAAAACAGATTATCAAAAAGGAAAAATGGTCCAAATCAAAGTTCAAACTTGATACCAACATTTTAAAAATATTTTCCAACAAGTAAACATGCAAATGTGTCAATCAAACAGGGACTCTGTGATCCATGTCTTTTTTGTTAGCGGTTTGTTGTCTTTAAGATCAAACCAAAACAACTGTGCTTGTTTTGTCGACATACTGCCACAGACTAAGAGGCAGTACTTATTGTGACAAATGAACCAAAGTAAACAGGAAAAATTGATCTACTGTACTCAGAAGTAAACATCAGATGATTAAATAATATAATGTATTTTTATGTAAATTAGTAAGGTCAGGTGCGATCTTTCTGTGCTTCCCAACTACTTAAAAAATCTTTGTTCATTTGTCAGTGAATTGACAAAGAAAATAAGAAAAATAACAACCAACAAATTGTAAAAATCATGAACATTGTCATGTCAAGATCAAGTCTTTCACTGATCCGCACAATCATTTGTCTTAATAAACAATCATTGTCACTGTGTCAGTTTACTCCATACCTCGCCATCATCTTTAATGTTTTGGAAAAAGGAGGTGTTGTGTGTTTGCTGTATTTCTGTTCTGCATAAACACAAAGAGAACTGGGCCTAATGAAGCATAGTGATGAATGTGTGAGGACATGAAGGACAGAAAACCTGTTGAGTAGGTTCACTTACCAAAGTGATGTGTGTACAAACACAAGACTGAGTGACATTAAACATTACCAGGTAACAGACATGCTGCCCGTGTGATACAAAAAACTGCAAATCTCTGTACCTTTACCTAACAATATTTTGTAATAAGCTGACATATGAATGAAATTTGACAATTGGTTTTTAATAAATTTGTCACCACTTTTGGCTGACTAGTGTAAATACTGCGGTTTGTAGGAATCATGTCTTAATTTATTTGCTGATCTTAACATTTGTCAATGTTTTGTGTATAATAGTTTTATTTTATTCGATAATAGTTTGTGGATGGTCACATGATTGGGGTTGTATTGAATGCTAATAGGCACCTGTTGGTAGGATAAATCTTTCAATGTTTTTTTTCCTTTAAAATATAAAGTTTGCACTTTGGAATACGTTTTTCATTTCCCTTTTCAATAATAGAGATTTAGTGGTATTGTTTTTTGTTTTTTATCTCAGTATCATTATTTTTGATTGATGTGTCACGTGAATGGATAGGTTAAATCTCCATGTCAGTGACTTTAATTTGTTCCTGAGGGCCCTACAACTTTCCAATGGAATGTTTTAAATAGTGTCACAGGAAATACAGGAGTGATATCAATTTCAAAAATGTCATCTGAATATGAAGCTCATACTCATACCATCAGCTTTGTTTGACCTGAACACTGTATATGGGGTTTGGTTGTCCAACTCAGTGATTAAAAAAATGATAGTACAAATGATGAACTCTATACAAAAAACAAAGTGAGGGACCTGTCACTGCACCAAATCGTTTTGAATAAGAACTTTCTTATATTTTCACCTTTGTCTCATCTAGAAGTAATAGAAACTAAGGGTGGTTTTTCTGGATTGTAAAAAGAAACCCGACAAACAGCTCTATTTCCTATGAAACATTTTGTAAGCTGAGCATCTGAAAATTCTTGTACATAACAAGATTTGTTTGTGCTGTGCTTTAGAAAAAATGTATTGCAATTGGAATGAATACATTTTGTTGCAGTATGCACTGTTTTGGGGTTTTGTCTTGTTTCGTCCATTTCTTTAATTATTCCATCCTCTGGGATCAAATATATGATTTCATATACACATAAGCACCTACGTGATGCATTGGAGTAGAATGAATATAGTTAAACATACTGACTTAACCAGATAACTGGTACACCCCTATTGATGCGTCTATTTTGAATACCACATTCTGAAAAAGTGTCTTCAACCATGTTGTGTGTCTCCCCTATACTGCTCTTTGTTTATACACGGGGGTGTCCTCCCATTGTTTAGCATATTATATATATATTGATAAATATAGATAAGTATCTTGAAGTGTACTGCAGCAGTTTCTTACCCCTCTCTCACTGATGGACTCATTGAAAGCGGACAAAAGTTTTTAATCTGAGACTTGAAACCAACACATCACTTCATAAGACTTGGAACTTTGAGACTGGAAGAGTGAAGGTAGGATGATTTGTCAAACTTTTAACCCTGAGTACAGTAATGAACAGTTGTCTGATCTTGACAGCTTCTTCATGGAGTTTTGTAAAAGAATGAGGATCACAAATCCCACCCAAGTGATCATTTTAGGGCTTTTTGATGCTCATTTTAAATCTTAATCTTTATAGAATAAACTAAATTTCCACTGAGAACAATACTGAGATGCTTCCCCTTCCTAAAATCTCAAATCTAAAGTGGAAGGATTAATTTATTTTGTTATTGATACACTGAGTAATAGCGAACTCAAGAAAGACTTCAAAGCCACCTCTGTCAAAATTAAATATGTTTATGTTCTTTATAATCTAACTAAAACTGCATAAACATACAACGTTTTCCAAGTTACAACAATCTATACCATTTGTAGTGGAGTGCACATTGAAAGGAAATGAAGTTAAAGTGAGTGGAGGTGGACTCAGTGGAACATATACAGGACTTCAGTTTCACTTTCACTGGGGTGATGTAAAAAATCCAGGCTCAGAGCACATGATTTATGAGCACAGATATCCAACGTAGGTACAATGTTTCTTCATTACTTGACATCTAAACTCCTTTTCTATATTTTGCTTTGCCTTATAAGTTGTTGGACTTTCTTCCAGATGCACATAGTCACTCAGAAGGATCATCTCACTGCCCCTCCAGAGCATCCAGATGGATATGCTGTACTTGGGTTTTTTATGAAGTCTGTATGCCCCAGACTTCACGCTGCTATTTTTAAATAGGCGACACTTATAAAACTGGTTTACATTGATGGCTTTTAAATATTAACATAATTACATTCATACATAATGTAGAGTTGAAGTCCACAGGAGTCAGAGCCATGGTGAACTTACGTCTACTGGCAACCTCACCGACAAGGTTGGTTTTTCTCCACCTAAGAAGTTCCAATGGGCTTTTGTTTAAAAAAAAAAGAATATTGAAAACAGTAGATTAGAAGAATGGCCTGCCATTGTTGTTGTAGTTATAACAATAGTTAAAGGAAATTTGTGTTTGACTTCTTTGTCTGTATGTGGAATTATTTTTGAAGTCAAACGATAAAAGTTTGTAAAGTCATGAAGCAGAAGAGGGTGAGACAGTAGCTGACAAACCATGCCTCTTGACTTTTGTGAACATGCACTGAAGTGAATATAAAATGCAAACCACTTTATGATTACATTTATTTATCCTTTTAAATTCAAGTCTCTTTCATTCTAATCTTTCCACAGGGAGCAAGGTTCGTTTAGACCATAGCATCTCTATTGATGACTTAATTGGAAATGTAAATTTGACAAAGTTCTACCAATACATGGGTTCCCTGACAACGCCTGCTTGCAACGAAGCAGTCGTGTGGACAATCTTTCACGAGCCAATCCACGTCAACACTGAACTGGTGAGTTCTCTTTAGCACAAGAGGAGCAAAGATCGTGTAAGGGGATCTGCAAATATGAATGTTCTCTCCACCTTTTAACACAAACACAACTAACTAAACGGTCCAAGCTGTATGAGAAAATGCTGAAGAAAAAGCTTCTTATGTTAATTTATGTATTAGATGTCAGTTAATTTATCACTTAATTATAGTGAATAGCTTGACCTGCAAATGACTCGTGGCAAATGAAATTCTTCTGTTATCCAGTCTGTGTTGGAATCACAAACATTTGCAGAAGAAAACTGAAACATGCAGCCAAGCACACGTGACATACCAATGGAACACACTGGTACATGCTGGTGTCTGCTTTGATTGTTCTGTTTGATAATCATGCCTTTTTATTTATGTTATTTCCACTGACTGTACCAACAAGGAAAAATGTTGGGCAAACTGCACGTGACTGTATGGGATAAACAGATAATTCTGAGTCATGCAAATGTAACAGAATGACACGTGACGTCTTTCTTTTCACCTTATCTGCCTAATGGTGGTGAGCTGTCTGCAGTTAGTGAGGCGTAGGCCCTATACTTGTCTGGCGACTCAGCAGAGGCATGACTCATTGAATTTAACTTAAGGCATCAATGAGTATGCAAATCTCTTACAACACTTTTGTGTGCATAGTCTGTAAGATTATAAAGCACCTCATTAGCCTGGATTTGACAGGCATGATAGGAGGACGACATCTGAGAGTTTATTTTTGTGGAAACAGAAGAAATACACCACAGTTATTAGAGTTTTGTATTTACTATTTTTCCCCTATTTTCTTTTCTTTCTTTTTTTGATTTGCTTTCTTTCAGTAAGATTTCAAAACAGATTTACTAAAAATTATATTGAGGATCATTGTCAGGGCAAGATTTAAGATGTCCAGAACCTGGATTACAATATGAATAAGGCAGCTAGTTCACAGTCTCAGTGACTAAATGCACCAACGCATCATTAGGTGGGGAATTTCCTTTCTAAAAAAATATTACACAATTTTGTGCATTATTATTATTTATTTAATTTTATTCTGAAGTGTAGTTTGTATTGTTGTTTCAGAAAAATGTTCTTTTCAGACTTCGTTTTTAGTGTGGTTTTACAAATCTATAATAACTCAAGTAGCCTCTTCCAAGTACCAGCTACTTTTTATGACATCAGGTCTAATTTTGTGCTTTTTTGTGTTCATATGTGAGAAAATCTACCATAGCTGATCTTGTCTGGCAGGACAGCAGAATGACATAAACAGTAAACTGACAGAACAGCAAAATGCCCCATAATAAAGTAGGCTTCACAAATTTGCAAATCAAAATCTCTTTACATATTTTGTAGAGTAAAGTGCTCTAAAGCCTCACAAGAGCTGAAGGTTTTTAAAGGATGCCTCTGGTTGCAACTCATCTTGACATGAAAAAAGTGTCTTTGTTCAATTTAGGTGTGCAGATAAAACAAGCAGTAAAGACATTTATTTGAAAGTTATTTGACTGATCTATGGAGATGCAGTCTGATGGTGCTGTATGTTTGACACAGTTCACAACCAAATCCCCACAGTAGCAGTAGAAGAAAGCAGAAGGGTCAAAACAGCAAAAGCCAAAAATCACTGCTGGATGCCAGTGATCTTCAGCCCTCAGGCTTTGTGCATTTAAAACAGTTATGATGCTGTTACGGAAATCACTGTTTGTGAACACGGTTCTCCATGCCTTACACAAATGTAAGTTAAAACTCTGTCAGAAGAGCTGCTGTCTTCTCTGGACCAAAGTTAACTTCAGATGGACTGAAGCTAAGTGGGACACTGTTCTGTGGTCAAATAAATCAAAATCTGAAATGGGACAACTTAGATAACATGGATGCTGCAGCTGCTAGACTACAGGGAGTGCAGAATTATTAGGCAAATGAGTATTTTGTCCACATCATCCTCTTCATGCATGTTGTCTTACTCCAAGCTGTATAGGCTCGAAAGCCTACTACCAATTAAGCATATTAGGTGATGTGCATCTCTGTAATGAGAAGGGGTGTGGTCTAATGACATCAACACCCTATATCAGGTGTGCATAATTATTAGGCAACATCCTTTCCTTTGGCAAAATGGGTCAAAAGAAGGACTTGACAGGCTCAGAAAAGTCAAAAATAGTGAGATATCTTGCAGAGGGATGCAGCAGTCTCAAAATTGCAAAGCTTCTGAAGCGTGATCATCGAACAATCAAGCGTTTCATTCAAAATAGTCAACAGGGTCGCAAGAAGCGTGTGGAAAAACCAAGGCGCAAAATAACTGCCCATGAACTGAGAAAAGTCAAGCGTGCAGCTGCCAAGATGCCACTTGCCACCAGTTTGGCCATATTTCAGAGCTGCAACATCACTGGAGTGCCCAAAAGCACAAGGTGTGCAATACTCAGAGACATGGCCAAGGTAAGAAAGGCTGAAAGACGACCACCACTGAACAAGACACACAAGCTGAAACGTCAAGACTGGGCCAAGAAATATCTCAAGACTGGTTTTTCTAAGGTTTTATGGACTGATGAAATGAGAGTGAGTCTTGATGGGCCAGATGGATGGGCCCGTGGCTGGATTGGTAAAGGGCAGAGAGCTCCAGTCCGACTCAGACGCCAGCAAGGTGGAGGTGGAGTACTGGTTTGGGCTGGTATCATCAAAGATGAGCTTGTGGGGCCTTTTCGGGTTGAGGATGGAGTCAAGCTCAACTCCCAGTCCTACTGCCAGTTTCTGGAAGACACCTTCTTCAAGCAGTGGTACAGGAAGAATGTCATGGTCCTGGGTCATGTGACCCAGTGTGTTATGCTTAGCCTATTTTGATGTTTATTATTTGTTTAGGTTCTCTAAGGTAGTCCAGCCATTTGTATATATCACCCCTGCATTACGTCTCCCTTGCCCTTCGTGTGTTTATGTCTGTGTGTCTTGTACTGTCAAGTTCATGCTGTCAGTTATGTCACCTCCCCCTGTACTACGTCTCCCCGGTTCATGTCTCATGTTTCCTGTTTTACTTTGAAGGCCTGCATTCACTGTCAGTGTATTCAGTTTTACTCCTCCTGTCCTGTCGTTAAGTTCATGTGTGTCAGCTGCTGTGTGGCCACTTCCCCTGATCATCCCTCATGTGTATTTAGTCTCTGTGTTTCATGTAGTCTGCGTCGCGTCGTCTGTGTTCCCACCCCCTGTGTTCCGTATCTCCAGCCATAGCCTTTCCATAGTTTATGTCCAGTTTAGGTTTCTGTTGAGTTATACTCTTATGCTGCCCTCACTCTGGTTTGTTCCTTTTCATCAGCCATAATAAAAGGCTCGCTTTTGTTTAATCCACTCCTGTATCTTCGCTTGTGTTCGCACCTGGGTCCACCACACACATTTCCGCACGGTCTGCCTCCGCAGATCACAACAAAGAAGTCTGCATCCTTCAAGAAAAACATGATTTTCATGCAGGACAATGCTCCATCACACGCGTCCAAGTACTCCACAGCGTGGCTGGCAAGAAAGGGTATAAAAGAAGAAAAACTAATGACATGGCCTCCTTGTTCACCTGATCTGAACCCCATTGAGAACCTGTGGTCCATCATCAAATGTGAGATTTACAAGGAGGAAAACAGTACACCTCTCTGAACAGTGTCTGGGAGGCTGTGGTTGCTGCTGCACGCAATGTTGATGGTGAACAGATCAAAACACTGACAGAATCCATGGATGGCAGGCTTTTGAGTGTCCTTGCAAAGAAAAGGTTGCAGAATTCATACATAAGGCGCAGTGGATTACAGGGCACACTATCGATTTTTGAGAAAATTAAGGGATTGTAAGTGCGCCTTTTAGCCCAAAAATGCGGCACCCTAAAAAGTAAAGAGTGTTAATTTTTTTGGGAAGTGAGCAAATTTACAACTTCAGCAGGGGGCTCAAAAATTATCTCCCCCCCCCAAGTAAAATACTTCTTGAAGTTTGTCTCAGAGCCTATACCATCTCCCAGAAGAAAAGGGCCATCTGACTGCGGTTCTGCAGTACAGCCCAGAGGAAGAGTGAAGCCCAGGGATGGGGGCAACGCTGCTGGTGATATTTGGAACCTCCATGCAGAACCTTAGTGGCACGCTGGGATGAATAAAAAAAAGAATAAAAATACCTATTATCAGGTCAAATGTAAAAGAGAGATACTGTCACTACAAGTACACTGCCTGCTTATTCTAAAAAGTTCAGAATACCTTCATGGCTGTCCTTTTGAATGAAGATGACTGTAAGCCTAAAGCTTTATAGTAGAAAGGCTGGCAGGCATCACCCATTAAGTGTTTCAGGACCCCTGACACCTGAGGAAACAGGTGGATGGAACAGTAAGCACAAGGATATGTTTTTGGAATTGTTTCACATTCTTTCTGGATCTGCTTGAGCATAACCTCGTATTAGATTAGAAAACTCACCTCAAACAGGGTAAACTCCCTCCTTGGTCTGCTCTGATTGTTATCTGCTGCCACTTTTGAGGATGAACTCTGTTGTTCTGATGATGGTTGTGAAGATGCCATATTTCCCAGCCGTTCCTCTAGGCAGTGCTGTAGTAGCTGATAGAGCAAGGTCCCATCTGGCACAGAGCGATAGAGGCTTTCCAGCTTTCCATAGGTTAAGTAGTCCACAATGTTCAAACCATTTTCAGTGAAAAGCCGAACAAACTGGGGCTTGTCATTGATCAGCGCATCTGTCATTGAGTCTTCCAAATCTTCGTACTGTTTAATTGGAGGAAGGAGATCATGTTTTAAAGCAGGTCAATATTTATAATGCCAAATAATCACATTTAAACTGACTTATCTGTCAAACTTGATATTACACATCTGTTCCCCTCCTCACCTTCCACTGGATGTCGCCATTGAAGAGTTCACTCTTGGCAATGTCAACCCTATTCCACGTTACTGCTAACTTCAGCTCATCACTATAAGGGTTTGCCTCAACTAATGCGCGCTGCTTACTTGCTAAAAAAGACAAATACAAAAAAATTAAATTAAGGATAAAAAGGGGTTGCAGCTGTTATGATGTATAATTATGGTCTACTTATACATACCTCCCACAAGTGTTTTAAGCAGGACAGTGTCAAAGTCATTTGGACTCTCATGCTCTCCGTGGTACACCGTAATCAAACCTCTATTCTGGTAAATTCTAAAAGCCTGGAAAAGGAAACAGGAATGTTGGAAAACAGTTGCAAGATGACAGGTAAAAGATGCAGGAGATGAAGTACATTCCACAGATGTTATAGCACCTGCTTGAAAGCATCTCTCATGTCAGTCAGTTTTATGCACTCTCTGTAACTTTTCTGGCTAATGATTTCAAAGCAGAGCAGAGCAAAACAAACAAACAAACAAAAAAATCTAACCATAAATAACTAACACACATGCCAAAATGGGTTACCTCCAGAGTTCAGCATCTGGAGAGTGAAACGGTAGAGATTTCTTCATGTGTGATAATGCTGCCTGCCCATTGCAACTTTTGACCAGACTTTAGGACTAGGATTTATTATACTTTTTATGCTATTTTGGCAAGCTGTGAGCTTGTGGAGATTTTGCTTCTTCAGTTGGCAAACAGTTCTGGATTTTTTAAATACAGGTTTTGATATTTATTCTATTTTTGTATTCCTCCCTGGTCATACTGGGGTATGATTTTATTGTTTTTATTCATGTTTGATTGAAAGCAAACAATTTTTAGAACTTTTATAAAAACAAGCTTTTCTTGATGCTCTAAACCCATTCAGAAGAGTCTTTTTGCTCCACTTTGACCACAGTTCCTTTATTTTCACCTATGATGTCACTTTTTTGATTCACATTCAACAATAATAGATTTATCTATTTTCAGCACAACTATACTTACACTATTGCAATTTAGATTAAGGTTATACAATTATTGACATCATTATATAGGAGCTGCTTGGTAAGTGGCTCAGTTCTGTTATTACCTCTGGTAGTGGATCAGGAAACAGAGCTGCAAAATGCAAAACTGCCTGTTTCTACTTAATAACATATAAATAACCTATTAAAACTAACTTCCAGACATGTGGTCATTACCTGGCAATATATCTGGTAGTTTTTGGATAATAAGCAGAAAACAGAGCTGCAAAATGCAAAGCTGTCTGTTTTTATTTAATAACACATTAATAACATAATTAAGCTAATGTAAAGAAGTGTAATAATTGCCTGTCAATATTGCTGGTAGCTGCCTGTTTCTATTTAATAACATATTAATAGCAGGATTCATACGTCTTTTTTTCCAGGGTCAAATTCAAGGTCTTTTTAAGCACTTTCAAAGTCCATTTTCAAGTTTTTCCAGCACATTACCAAAAACATATTTCACTTCGCATCACCTCAGTAAGACCATGTGAAAATAAAAAGAAATCACCCTAGGTTGACTTAAACACCTTTATTCCTCCTTTGTTAAAACAGGTTGACTAATATGAATGCAGTGTATAAACTCAAAACACACATTTCACTTAAAAAATTAAGATGTGCAAATGTAAACAAATCAACTTGTTAGAGATATTCACCTACTGTTGAAAAAAACAAAACAAGAACACCACAAAAATAATACACAGCAAGCCAAAATTATTAACTCTTCTTATCAGATATTGATGCTTCTTTCTTATGTGAAACATTTATATACAAAAACACATACATGTGTCTCATGTCTCAGTGGCTGATAGTCATCTTCAGGCGTCAGCGTGAGCTTGAAGCCATTTACAATGTTTATGGTGTTTATTGTGTAGGTGCTCACAATAAACAGATTTTGAATGAAAGCCGGGGAACTTCGGTAGCACAAAAAATGTGTCTATTCTTTGTGCCCAAATGGATGATATTACCATTATTTCCCCCTAGGTGTTGCCAAAGGCACCGAGTTAATACCTGAAAAAGCTGCACCAATACACAGAGATATAAACAATATTCTATTTACTTGGTGATAACTTCGCTTTTAAGCCTTAAGTTGGCTAGTTATGTATCGGGCTAATGCTTAAAGCTTTGTTTTGAGGGAAGTAACTCCATGCTAAGTAATGTTAGCTAAGTTCACACTATATTCCATAAATCACCATGTCATAACTAAATGCTATATTAGCGCTGCAGTACTGCATCACACTCAGTGCATTTCAATCATTTCACCAGCGAGTTTGATAGCTAGCAAAATAATAAAAATAATTTTTAAAATTAACATGTGTAACGTACACGTAGTCGAAAATTGCTTACGAGGACTCGGCTATCATGTGACTCGAGAATGCAAACTCAACCATTGTCGTTTTCCATCAAATACTCATTAAAACGACAACCTCCAGGCATGTTAATTTTACTCATTCTATTTCTCTATCTGATAAGAAAACTATTCAGGTACAGCAAAATACAGTTACACTTTCAAGCAATTTTAAGCACCACATCTGAAATTCAAGCACTTTCAAACCCTGAAAAGACAATATTAAAATTCAAGCATTGTAAAGATTTCAAGCACCCGAATGAACCCTGTAATAGCCAGTTAATAACCTTTTAAAACAACCTTAAGAATAGTAATGACTACCAGGAAATACCTGTGGCAGTTTCTATGTAATAAGCGGCATTTTAATACCATGGTCATGATAGCTGAATAAAACAAGCATCAGGAAGTCCGAAATGAACTGGAAACACTTGTGCAAAATGTCAATAATTAAGTTTAAAAGAGTAATACATATGAATACATTAGATTTGCAGAAGAGTTTAGAAGACCCTCTTTCACGGCACAGTTATTTATTATGTTCATTATGCTTTTCATGTAAATTTCAGGGAACTATTACTCAACAGTTGCTACCATGATATTACTTGGATATTAGGTGGTTATTACTTATAATATATGTAATAGTTATTAACGAGGTGTAATAAAAGGGGCTACCGAAAATCTTTCCCCCAACTCTTGCAAAGTAAAAGCCTCAGCACTCACCTGTTCAACTAGTTTGTCGGTTTGTACTTCCAAAGGAAAATGCTTCTTAAACCGTTCTGCCACTCTGTCTTTAAGATCCACGCTGGGACCCGCCTCACTGTTGCCTTCACCAGAGGACGGCACAGCTGGAGCTGAAGACAGGTTCTCCAAGACATCACTCAGGAAATCAGCCAAGCCTCCTGAGCCAGCCAGAACCAGCCAGGGGATGGAGTTTTTCAGAGAGAGATCCATTCTCTGACAGGCGTTACAAAAACCACGAACGAAATATTTACACAATTTGAATATCAAGTCGCAACATTTTTTGTGATTATCAGTCAACATATAAAGCAGAGACTGTACCTTTAGCATGTCTGCATCCCCTGATATCAGCATACAAACAACAGGAATGTCAATGCTGCCACTTCCTTTAAAAAGATACAACAATTTTTAATACGTTCCAATCTTGGTAAAATGTTTTTACTAACTTAATGAAAGTGGCACAGCAACTAACAAAGATACAGATGGCGCACCCTGTGATTTTTTTTTTTACTTGATTAAACATTGGCAACACAGTGGTTAGCAATGTTGCGTTAAAGTAAGAAGGTCCTGTGTCTGAATCCACCATCTGACTGGGACCTTCTTATGTGGCATTTGTATGTTTGCATGGGTTCTCTCTAGGTGCTCCAGTTTCCTTTCACAGTCCAAAGACATGCAGTTAGTGGGGTTAGGACTAACTGGTGATTCGAAATTGCCCAAAAGTGTGAATGTGAGTCCAAATTGTTCTCTTTGTGCTAGCCCTGCCCTTGTGACAGACTGGTGACCTGTACAGGGTGTACCTGTTACGCCCTGTACAGTAACTAGGATAGGCTCATAAATGGTCAACCACTGTCAAAATAAGTATTATAATTCTTAAAATAATATTTTATTTTATAGTGCCATCTCTCACCTAATATGCCTGTGCGCTGGTGGGAAATGTATTCCTCCAGTCTGGCTCTGAAACCCATCTCTCCTCCTCTGCGGCCCACACTCCCATCATCCACCAGCAGGAAGGCCTGGTAGTTGTTGTCCAGTGAGCAGGAGTCCTGTGATATGTTTTGGACATAGTACCTTGCAGGAAAGCTTCCCTGCAAAGGAAGGAAACCAGTTATTCCAGTGTTTCTTCCTGGCCTTGATCAGTTTCCACGGTGTCTTAAAGGCCTGAAACTTGCACATCCTTTTGGTGTGTTTTTATTGGAGATGCAAAGTTTGGTCCCAAGATTATCCAGATGAATCACAATTAGCATACATTTACCTGACCTTGAGCACTCAAAGATTAGGTCCACATAGTCTTATTAATTTGAAATTAGTGCCCATGAAATATAAGCATTATATGATTATGGACAGCTAATATTAAAACATTCAAAAAAATAAATATAATCAAATCTTTAAGCAAGATTTACAGTAAAAAATTGTATAGTAAAAGTTAACAAGATATGATTTAATGCTTAGAGAAATGTGCAAATGTGTGAGAGTCTTTACTACCTGAGGGTTGACCAGCTGCTCTCGTTTTTCCACTACGCCCCACGGAGCAATGCCCAACGCTACCACCTTATTGAGAGAGACTGAAGATGCCGCAGCTGCATGATCTCTCACTGCCTGTCCAACACACCGACCAAGCCTTTCGCGCAGACCTGTAGTTAATATCCATGCACCTGGGTGGAACAGATTAAAAATCGGTGTGAGAAAGCATTAGTCACTGCTTGGATTTGGGGTCAAAGATATAATAAAGAGAAGTTATTCTGATAGTGGTAAGTCCTTTCATCATTTCCTCCTTCAGCTGGTTCCTCTAGTTTAAGTAACAAATGGGGGACAGAATGAAAAGCACTGGCTAGGTCCAGGAAGAAGACATGGAGGTCTTTTCCTTCCCTTTTAGCAGACTGGGTTTGATGCTATACGATCAGACCTGGTCTATGTGTGTTCTAATCATCCCCCAGACCCTGGTATACCGGCCTTCTGCACTGACATGTCAGTCAGACTGTTGAGAATGTTTGAGGCATCTTTTCCCTTGGATATCATCACACCTCCTACACGTTGCAATGTTTTTGGGAGGATTCACTTTGTTCAGACCAGTTTCATTTGTTTTCAGAGAAATCTTTTTACATAGCAACCATGGACGTCCATTGGAGGTGACCGATGTTTTCTTTTTTCTTGGCCGGTTTGTCCTAAACTTTGTGCTCGATAAGAGTAGATCAGATCACCCTATCTAGTTTCTTCTCCACTGTTATTCTGAGTTTTCCCACAATTTTGGTCAGGTCTGCGCTGACTGATGCCCGTTCTTTCTTATTACAGGATTTTGGCCACTCCACTTGGTGTTGGTAATCTTGGATGCTCTTTTCCAAAGTTAAATTCTGCTGCTGAGTTTCATTTGTATTATTTGACCATGTCAGGTAAAGATCAGGACCTGGCCTTGTTTATTTCAAAAACTTCAACCACCTTTTACGTATTTTGAGGCTTGATGTTGATATATCCTTATTCCGTAAACATAAGCATGTTTGAACTACAGCAGAAGTTGTTAGCATGGCGACTGATCTTCTGAGACTACATTTTTTCATGCTCAAACCACCATGAGTATGTTCAAGAAAGACCTGGCAGCATCATTTGTTAGATAGGTATGTCTACTGTTTTGAGAGAGGGACTGACAGCGTTAATTTTTATTAAACCTGCCACTGTGCTAGTATTCATGGCCCTGCATCTGAAGTCTCTGGTTGTGTTGTTCTGAACTCTATTGTAAATGTTTAAAACATAGAACAACAAGAGGCAAAATAAAAACATGAACCATCATTCAAAAAAAAAAAAAAAAAAAAGCTATAATTCTCCTTTATTGGCTTCTCTTCATTGGCTTCCTATTAAATCCAGTTGTTGTGATTTGGCACCATCTAAATGAAATTGAACTGAATAGTTCGTACTTCAATATATGACTATATCAAGACAGCCTATATAGTTTTATAGTCTTAAAAATAAAGGAAGTCCACTTAAGACACATTTTTTGATTTTTTTTTTTTTTTTTAAATGTCATTGAGAAAATTATGACAGCTTCTGCTAAGCAAACAGCACACACATATTCTAGACACACGGTGAACATCACACATGAGTCTGTCAGGAAGACTGTCATAGCAGCATTTGATGTGATGATTTTCATCTATCCTTGCCTAAAGTTTTTACCTGTTCTTTGTGACGCTTTCACCAGTCCCTGTCTGAGGATCTCCCGCACCCAGGTCTTTATCTGTGTCCTGCTATTTCCACCCACAACAGAAACAACCAGGTTGGGTGGAGGAAGACCCCAATGGGTTGTCAATATGTTGTACACAAAAAAAGGCTCAGTGCTCCATGACAGACGCAGGAACTAAGTTTAGAGATTTGACAGATTCAGAGGAACAAGCACATGTCAGCAATGCACAGGATTTAAGAAGTAATGAAAGTAATAAAAGTAATGAACAAAGGATGCTCAAATAAATATGACATCTGATCAGTACAGATTTTGTTTGCTCATTTGCACACCACAACTCAGGGTTTGTCTGGATATTTATTTCAATCACCTTTACAGGCATTGCTTTTTAGAACATGCAAACATATCCAAACACTTTAAGGCTCTAGAGCAGGGGTGGCCAACTCCAGGCATCGAGAGCCGGTGACCTGCAGGTTTTAGATGTGACCTTGATCCAACACAGCTGATTTAAATTACTAAATTATCTCCTCAACACTTCTTGAAGTTCTTCAGAGGCCTGCTAATGATCTAATCATTTGATTCAGGTGTGTTGACCCAGGGTGCTATCTAAAACAGGACACCGGCTCTCGAGGCCTGGAGTTGCCCACTCCTGCTCTAGAGATATAGAATTATGCAAAAAAAAGAAAAATAAATCCACCCACATGGCTGTGCCTCTTGCTGGCCCCTGCAAATTGCACCTCTCCAAATGCATCAGTTGGTTGTTCAGAGGAGTGCTGCACGCTTTCCCAGTGGTTCACAATTGCAGTGCTGAAATAGTCTCCAAGAGCCACAGAGGCATGGTCATTTCTCGCAGCCCCACACTGACACAATGCACCATTACTGAGAGATGTGGAGGGATAAAAACATCACTGTGAGAGCTGACTCAAAATACAGACATGTCACTATCAAAAGACAGAGGTCACAGTACCTGACAGAATCTTCTACAAAGGTGCTGCACACTCTTTTTTTGATGGTTTTGGGGATCCAACTCTGAAAGCAGTTTTTTTAACAGTGATCAATAATGGTCAGGGAATTAGGGATCATTGACCCTTGATGCTCACTCATCAATAAAAACAAATATCTATCTACATCTACATCTATCTGTGCTATGACAGAGATTAAGAAAAACTGTAAAGCTGGGTTTAACTCCCACCAGT